TAAACCAGCAAAGGACCAGTTTAAACCAGCAAAGGACCAGCATAAACCAGCATCCCAGCGTCAAAACATACCTAACCAGCATATGCTGTTTTTTTCAACAGGGTATTGATTATTAATAACATAACTTTTGTCCTATCATGATGAATATTTAAAAAAAAAAGTGACCAAATAGAAATGTCCCTCATAGTGTAAGTGATTTGGGATGCAGTCGTTCACGTTTCATTGATGAGTGTAACAGTAGTTCCCTCTGCTGGTCAAAGGATCATACACGATGATTAAAGAAGGCTGAATTATGTCACTTGCTTCTTGTTGTTGTTTTTAAAATTGATGATATACAGTTCGGAGAAAAGAATGGTCAGACATGTTAGTTTAAGTTAGACTTATAATTCGAAGGACTGTAGCCCGTTGTAATAGTGTTGCTTCCCGTGTATTCTTAAAAGATCATGACTTTTGAACAAGTTAGATATAAGAAATAAAGGTCATAAACAATGTGTATGCCATATTCTGCTCCAAAATGTGAATAGAATGACAACAGAAAGACTGAATGAAGTAATCAAATCAGTCACATTTCCCCTTCTCCGGTTATTGAACGTATAAACTGAAGTAGTTCAGTGTATGAATGATCAACTTTAACAACTAGACTAGAGGAGGTCATTTTCGTTCGTCTCAAACATGTGCCACTAATAAATGATGACAAAGCAGCATATCCACAGCAGTACCCTTACGAAAAACAAGTGTATTCAAGTGTGCTATTAGTATACTTCTTTTAAACTTAAAATAGGAAAGTATACTTTGAGTCTACTTTGTATGTACTTCTCAGAAATGGACTTTATGTACTTCTTGACTTATACTTAGAAAAAGTCTACTGTAGCTACTGTATACTTGTGCTCCTAGAATCCGTGTTTTCATTGTTATACGTTAGAGGTTGCTATTACACATCTTCTGTACAGATTTTCCAAAAAACACAAGTGAAGAAGAAACCGAAACAACAGACGCTTCCACATGTAATCTAACACGATCATCAGACATAAAACAGCATCAAAACTGAGTAACGTTATGGAATAAAATGTCGACCAATGAAGAGGTAATAATGACTGTCAAGCTTTGGGGTCGACTCTATCTATGTTTTGATTATCATTCTGAAGCCAATTCATAGTCTTTTTTCAGCTTTTTGTTCAAAATGTTGTTTATTTCTTTATTTTTTATTTATGAAACTTATCCACATTCAATAGTTTTTAAAAAAAGGAAGCATGAAGCTAGAATAAAATGTTTTTGTTTGCAAGCAGATACTCTGTTCTTTTGATGTTTTGCATATTCAGATATTCATGTAACAAAATATATACAAATTGACACCTAAATATGGACATAGTAGTATACTTAAAGTATGATGCAAAGTTCACTTAAAGAAAACTGCTGTTATACTTAAAGCATACTTAAAAGTATACTTTTATATACTAGAAAGTGGGCCTATTTAGTCCCAAGGCGTATTGAAATAATACACTTACAAGTATACTATAAGTACACTGATATTTGTATACTTACTACATAAAGTATACTTAAAAATATACTTGAACTTTACTTAAGGATACTGACTAAAATAAACTTTTGAAGTATACTACTATTTGGTAAGGGTAAACCCGTTTTTCAATGTTGGATCTGCTGTAACAAATACAAATGTACTAACAAATGTCCTTAAACTTTCCTTTTATTATTATTATTATTATTATTGTTTTTTAATAGTCTCTCTGACTGTCTTTCAGCTTTTCTGGCCTGTGAAACATCTCATTGTTAAGCTTTTAAAACTTAAGGCAATGCTTCATCAAACCAATACCAAATAAAAATAGTTTTTTTTTTATTTAGTTTAGTTTAACTCTTAATCCATCTGCGAACCAGCAGCCAGTCCACAGTAAAACCGAAGGACTTTTATTTTGAAAAGCGCTTCTGTCACCGGCGCTCGTGGCTTCACAGGCGCAACATTTCCCGGGATTTTGGAGCCTAGAAATAAACAAGTAAGAGTGAATTGTACTACTTTTAATTGTTCATTGACGCTCACATTAATAGACCAATCTTAACAAACAAATAAGACGTTGACTGCTTTGAATAATGGAAAGTTTACATCTTGCGTCTTATCCTTACAGTAATCGCTCACACTGCTGCAAAGCTGCTAGTTCGCTAGCCTCCAGATGTGAGTTAGCATAACTTCTGTCAAACGAGTCTGTACGTAATCTGACAATATATTTGAATGGAAAAGGTGTATAAAATAAGCATTTTTGGGCTTATATATGGGTTAATGCCATATATAAATTATGCATGAGAACTTATGATTAGTAAACAATGTAAACAACTGTTAAAATCTTTTTTTATTTAATTATTCGTTGCTAGGGATGCTTTAATATAGTAAAAAAAAATACCTATGGCGTTTAAAAAATAAATAATAAAATAAGTAGCTGGTTATCTATGTGATGTGCGGGATTGTTGATATGAATAAGCAGTTCTTATGTAACGTTAGAGGTTTAATTTGAATGAATACATCTAATGCAGGAGCTTTCAACCTTTGCAGTCCCATGAAATCTCCTTTTCTATGCAAATCCTGCTGTACTTTGGTGGTGGAAACCCTGAATCTAATGTAGCACATTTCTAGGCTCCTACTCTTGTTGTAGGTAATAATTGCTGCTGTTGTTTTGTCTTTCAGCTGACTGTCATACGCTGCTCTTGAACCCGAGCGAGAGAAGCCTCACACACTGACGTATAGAGACGGGCCGCAGAATGCCGCCTGTGTCTGGACTGGACACGGGTCCGCTTGAAGAAAGCTCCGGGGGTCTTAAACATTCAGACTGCCTTTGTCCGGTCTGTCTGGACATATTCCTGGAGCCCGTCACTTTGCCCTGCATGCACACCTTCTGCAAACCCTGCTTTATGGAAACTGTGGACAAGTCCAACATTTGCTGTCCGCTTTGCAGAAAACGCGTGTCCACTTGGGCGCGACTCAACAGCCGCAACAAGACCTTAGTGAATGTGGAGCTGTGGAGACGCGTGCAGGATGCTTTCCCCGCTCAGTGTGAGCGGAGAGCGCAGGGAGTCGAGGACGACGATGATGCTGGTACAGAGAGCGTAGCTTGATCGAAGCAATATGTGCTACATAAGTGTTTCATGCTAAAGGGGTCATATGATACGATTTCAAGTTGTTCTTTCTCTTTGGAGTGTTACAAGCTGATTGTGTATAGATAAGATCCCTGAAGTTGCAAAGACTAAAGTCTCAAACCCAAAGAGATATTCTTTATCAAAGTTAAGACTCTGCCACGCCCCCCTAAAACGGCTCGTTCTAACACGCCCCCACATATCTACCTCACTATGTGGAAATATTAGCATAATGCCGCCCAAATGTTCACGCAGAGAAAGAAGGCGTGGTTTCAGTAACCGCAGTTAGTGTTGAAGCAGCATGTCAGGGAGACGCTGTGTGTTTCTAGGCGAAAGCAAAAGCACTTTATTTGGCCTTCTGGAAGTAGATGCATTTAGGAATCTTTAAGATTACTTGCAACAGAACAGCAATGCATTTTATGGACGACCGTTTCGTGAACCTAGGAGAGGAGGTAATTCTGACTGCTATGACAATCTGGCGCTTCTGAATCAGCTGCTGTTTTGTTATTAGTTTAAGTATTTGCTATTGACTGTTCAAATGTGTTTGTGTGTGCGTGTGTGTGTGTGTGTGTGTGTGTGTGTGTGCGCGCGAGAGAGAGCGAGAGCGGCAGGTGTGCCTCCCTGAAATGCACATTACTGAGTGCAGTCCCGTGTTTACAATGGGGCCGTATTGTTGTGCTGGCTGCCAGCAACACGATAGTTTTTGTTTGCGTGTCCAGTCCTGCTCAATGTGCATAATACTGCATACAAACTGTGCTGCAGTGGACGTTTTGAAAGATCTGAAATCATTCTTGAATTGTGAATAATGTTTGGTTAATTTTGATCTTTTAATAGTTTGAAATTAAACACTATTATATACCATCATATGTACATTTTTATTTTATTTTGTTTTTATTTGCTGTTGTACCTTTAAAAAAAATCCTGAATAAACTTGTTTCCATTTATGGTATTTAAATTATGGAACATATTCTGTTACACCAAATACACAAAATAATGATCTTTAAAAAAGCATCATATGACCCCTTTAATGCATATTGCGTTCATTATAATTACTTATGCAGTCTTTTTTTCCCCCAGTAACGATTCCGAGACCTCTCGTGTGTCAGCCGGGAGAGCTGAGGAAAGAGTATGAGGATCAGATCAGTAAGGTGAGAGGTTCAGGACGGTCTCTCTGTTGTAGATGTGTTGGATCTTTAGCCTGTGAAATGGCAGGTGTGCCTCCCTGAAATGCACATTACTGAGTGCAGTCCCGTGTTTACAATGGGGCTGTATTGTTGTGCTGGCTGCCAGCAACACGATAGTTTTTGTTTGCGTGTCCAGTCCTGCTCAATGTGCATAATGCTGCATACAAACTGTGCTGCAGTGGACGTTTTGAAAGATCTGAAATCATTCTTGAATTGTGAATAATGTTTGGTTAATTTTGATCTTTTAATAGTTTGAAATTAAACACTCTATTATACCATCATATGTACATTTTTATTTTATTTTGTTTTTATTTGCTGTTGTACCTTTAAAAAAAATCCTGAATAAACTTGTTTCCATTTATGGTATTTAAATTATGGAAACTATTTCAGTACCTGGTCTTTTCAGATTAGAGAAGAATTTTGAGTTCTGAAAATTGCAGATCATACCATTTAAAAGTTTATTGTCTATACGATTTTTTAAAAATGTTTTTGAAAGAAGTCTCTTATGCAAGGTTGCATTTATTTGATCAAGAATACTGTAAATCAGTAATATTGTGAAATATCAATACAATTTTAATGTATTTTAAAATGTAATTTATTGTTCAAAAGCTGTATTTTCAGCATCATTCCTCCAGTCTTCAGTGTCACATGATCTTCAGAAATCAGTCTAATATGCTGATCTGCTGCTCAAGAAACATTTCTGATTATTATCAGTGTTGAAAACAGAAAATTCAAAAGAACCGCATTTGTTTAAAATATTAATCTTTTTAAGATTATAAATGTCTTTACTGTCACTTTTGGTCAATTTAATGCATCCTTGCTAAATAAAGTATTAATTTCTGATCTGAAATTAAAACTGACCCCAAACTTTTGAACAGTGGTGTACAATTGAAGACTTATTTCAAGTATCAATTACATTTTTTTTTTTTTTTTACTAAAATCTTTTAGATTTTTTTTATTGTATGCACATTTTCAATTAGAGTGAATCAAATGTTAATTTGTTATTTATGTTGTGTTGTGGTGAAGGGTCATGATCTCATTTGCTGTTTTGAACAGCTGGTGGAGGAGAAGCGAGCTCTAGAGGAAGCCGAGAGGAGAGCCAGTGAGGAGTACATCCAGCGGCTGCTGGCTGAGGAGGAGGAGCGCATGGCGGAGGAGAGGAGGAGACGGGAGGAGCAGCAGCTGGAGAACGATGAGAAGCTGGCCAGACTGCTGAGCCAAGAGCTGGTGAGCTCACACGTCACGGACATGCAGAGTCACGCAGGACTGTTTATCATGATTATGTTTAATAACATGTCAAAACACCAATAAAATCATTCGGACTGTCTGAAGACAAGTAAATAATCTCATTCCATGTTTTGGTTCCTGTTTACTTGTTCTTAAAACATACTTTTTGAAAGTTTATTTAATTAAATCTTGCCAAAAACAAATCACACATTTTCTGTGAGTCTTAAAAAGGTTTTAAAAAGACAATTCACCCTTCCACAGATTAAGGCCTAAAAATTTCCTAAATTGGAGCAGAAAGTCCTGAATTCATAAAGTCATGACATTAAAGGGGTCATATGATACAATTTCAATTTGTTCCTTTCTCTTTGGAGTGTTACAAGCTCTTGGTGCATAAAGAAGGTCTGTAAAGTTGCAAAGACTAAAGTCTCAAATCCAAAGAGATGTTCTTTATAAAAGTTAAGAGTCAGCCACACCTACCTAAAACGGCTCGTTCTAACACGCCCCCACATGTCTACCTCACTATGTGGGAAGATTTGCATAATGCCGCCCAAATGTTCACGCAAAGAAAGAAGGCGTAACTTTTATTCTCGCTGTAGTATTGTTGTTGCCGCCGCCATGTCGTGAAGACGCTGTGTGTTTCGTTGTGAAAGCGAAACTACTTTGTTTGTTCTTCCAAAAGAGGACGATATCCGCTTCGTCATATCTAGAGCTGATCTGTGCTGGTTGCTGAGGAAATACATCAACTTTGCTGTGGATCGCCGGATCGGGTTTCACCGTGGACGAAGCGGAGTCCAGCCCGGGGTCGTCACATGTGGTTGCCGCAAGCCCGCCGGACGCTCCTTCGTTAAATCTGCCGGCCGCGCCGTTCTCAAGCACGCCAAACTACTTTGTTTGGTCTTCCAAAAGAGGACACAACTAGAAATCAGTGGTTAAGTTGTATTTACAACACTGTTCCAGAACACTTCAACCCAAATATTCAGATGTGTGCAGCGCATTTTATGGAGGACTGTTTCCTGATCCTGGGAGAGTAGACTACAATGCGTTTACAAACAAAGGCTGTTTCTATAAAGTGGGGCAGTTCCAACTTTGCAAGGACAGTCTGGCGCTTCTGACTCACAGTCTGTTAGTAAGTTTTTTATATTTAAAGAATTTGTCACTGACGATTCAAATGCGAGTTTTGAGCAGTGTAGAGTAGCGTTTGTTGTTTGTCATTTGGTTTGGTTTTATGTTTACACGGCGCGATATGCAACGTGTAAAAAGAGAGTATAAGTCATTATAATCAGTAATTATGTCCCCACTGGATGCAACGAATGCCTCGTTTATAATGGGTTTTCATGTTTTTGTCTCGTCGCTCCGGCCGGACACGGCGTCACAGTATGTTAAGGGGCGTAACATTTCTGTCACACGCTTGAGGTATTCAGCCAATCACAACGCACTGGATAGCTGGCCAATCAGAGCACACCTCGCTTTTCAGACCGATGAGCTTTGTAAAAATCTATGTGTTTCAGAAAGGCAGGGCATAGAGGAGAAACAATAATGTACAGTATGTGGAAAATAATGTGTTTTTAACCTTAAACCGCATAAACACATTTCATTACACCAAATACACTAAATAATGTTCTTTTTAGCAGCATCATATGACCCCTTTAAACCTCGAAATGCTGCTGCAGTTTTAGTTTCCTTTGCAGACCTGTCAGTAATCAGAGATGATGTAATGCTGTTTTGTGGTGTTTGTGCAGAATTCAGGACCAATCTCTGAAACATCATGGACCGCCAAACCTACTGATAATACACCAGCAAAGAAGACAAAACCAAACATTGAGAAGTGAGTAGCTGCTGTTATAACTCATCTTTTCAGACCTGTCTTTTGTTGAATGTACTGAGAGTTTTTTTTAATGCGCTTAATGCATTAAAATTCTCTTGTATGTCAGGTTTTTGCGTCCAGTGCCTCATAAGCAGCCGAGCAGTTCTGACAGCAGCCCAGACTCCTCTCTGATGGCTAATAAGGTGATTTCTTTCATTTTATAAATGAAATGATTGCAAATGAAATCAACTAAAATGAATAGGCTAAAAAAAAAATAAAACAAATTGAAAGAATATCAGAATCAATCAGATCTAAAAGAAAAAAATCTCAATAAATCCATAAATTTGAGACTAAACATGATACATGAGAAACAGTAGCTTTATTTTATTTATATATATATTTATTATAGTTATATTCTTATGTTTTATTGTATTTTGTTTTTGTAAATATCTCAGGAAAACTGTGTTTTAGTGAGGTTGAGGATTTTAATTTTTTAATGTATTATTTTTTTAAGACAGACATCGATTATATACATATGTAAGGCAAACAACATGCATGTTTACAGATGAATAGGATAAAAGTAAAATCACAATATTAAGTTAATTCTTACTATTACATTTTTTTTGTACCAAACAAAATGCAAGTTTTGCTCTAAAATGCATTAATATAAAAAAATAAGACATAAAAAAGTAAAAATAAAATTAATGATTGGGAACAAACTCTTGTGCTTTTTGTTTTTATTTACATTGTTGAGAAGTCTCTTCTGCTCACCAAGGCTGCATTCATTTAATCAACAATACAGTAAAAACAATAATATTGTGAAATACTGTATTTATTACCATTATTTATTAAAAATATATTTTTAAAATGTCATTTATTTTTGTGAAACTGTGATCATTTTTTAAAATAATTCTTTGATGGATAGAAAGTTCAAAATAGCAGCATTTATTTGAAACCGAAATCATTTGTAACATTATAAATGTCTTTATTGTCTCACACACTTTTGAATGATAGTGTATATGCAAAGTTCATGCATATTTAGTTGAAGATAAAACACTTTCTGGACAATTTCCAGTTGTTGGGTTACTATCCAGAAGGTTGGGTTAAACATTTAAACATTTAACCCAACCGCTGGGTCAAAACAACCCAATTGCTGGGTTTGTCCCTATTTTTCCCAGCACTGGGTTGTATTTAACCCAGCATTTTTTAGAGTCTTGAGAGCATCTGATTGGACAGAAAGTTTGATGAGAAGCTGAAGTACGATGTGACGTCAAAAAAATCATTGAGCCGTTTTGGCAGAACTGACGAACTGCAAGCTTTGAATGCTTATATCTTCTAAATTCACACACTTTTGAATGATAGTGTATATGCAAAGTTCATGCATGTTTAGTTGAAGATAAAACACTTTCTGGACAATTTCCAGTTGTTAATGGAGAAAACGAGTTTATAAATGTTCCTGTTTTTCAGGAGAACATTCTGAGCCCTCCAAAAACCCTCTCAGCACAATCTGTGGCGGACACAAGCAAACTGAGCACGTCTGTGCTGGACTACAGCGGGAAACCCTCCACCTCCAGCTGCTCAGAACACACGTTTGATTTTAACAGTCCAAACAGCAGCTCGCTGAAAAGGAAGAGTTCAGAGGTCGAGCTTCAGACTGAAGCGGATCTGCTCGATAAGAGGCCCTGTGCCGCTCCACAGTGTGAGTCTCCTTTAGCCGACAACACGTTCCTGTCTGAAGTGGCGTGGTACGAGGAGGGCTTACAGAGCCACTGGCAGCAGGAGGAGGAGGACCGGAGACTGGCCATGCGACTTCAGAGGGAGCTGAACCGTGAAAACACCGTGGACCGCAGGAAGGGTTCAGCCAACGGCTATTCACTCCGGCAAAAACCCACTCCGCCTTCCACAAGCACAAACCCAGACGAGGAAAATACGAGTAAGAACATCAGTACGACACGGTCTGGAACAGTAGGAACGACGCCTGGGAAGAGCCTTGCATCTTCTCCTTCAACAACCGTCCCAGCTGCTTTGAAGAAGGGGGCGAAACAGACCACCCTTACTAAGATGTTCCCCAACCTGAGCAGCTGAACGATGCTCTGCTGCTTTTATCTGGTATCTTATTCACCCTTCAGACTCGAAACCCTTGTTAGGTGCTGTGCTGCTACTAAAGGACGTCCTGCAGCCGGTTTCCGTTGTCTTTTTCGGTTTCTGCCCATATGTTGCTGATACTCCTTCAGTGCCTTTCTAGGGAGGGTCATCCTGTGAAGTCATGATGATTTCGTTTTCTGGAGCGTTTTTATAGTCATGACTAGCTTAGAGTTTGGAAATGGTGTGAATGCTGCAGAAGAAAGTCATTTTGTAAGCATTTGCAGGCATTTTCACTTTGATTGAATAAAAGGACAGTTCGGTTTACAAAAAAAAAAAAAAAGTGTTGTGTGGTTATTTGACAAGTGAATAAAAAGCAAGGACCTAAATTATTCTGGGTGGTTTGGGGTTTTAAGGGAAAAAAAATCTCTAAATATATATGTACAGTATATGTGTGTGTATATATAGATATACGTATATATACATACACACATACACATATATATACACACACCACACGGGTTGGACAAAATGATGTGAGCACCTGAGAAATAGGCAATTCGTCTTCATTAACACCATTTGCCTTTATTATAGATATAGAATAGATTCATACAACATCTGAATGTTGTTTATCAGAACATCTGCTAGCTACTTCAGAGATGTTTGACGAGGGAGTCTGCTTCTCAGACTTCTCTCTCAAACTAACCACAATGATTTGATAAGTCGGGTAATTTGTTCGGTCAGGGCAGATATTGAAGTTAATCTTGGTCTCCAATTGTCCAGGTTTTATGATCATTGCTCCATATTTTTCACATGTGCATATTTTTCATATAGTGCTTAAACACTGCTGAACACACATGCTCTCTATATAAGTGATCGGATCTAGACAATATGAATTATTACATACAAAATAAAGGCATGCATGTAGTTTATTTTTTATATATAATCTGGTTTTAAAAAAAAATTAAGATTTTATTTGTATTTGCATTTACAATTTCCGTCCATTTGGATTAGTTTTGATCTCATACATTTGAACTAACTGAATATTGCTTGTCTTATTTTAACCATGTGCATTATTATTATTTTTTTTTACTGAATCAATTTGTTTTCACAATGAACAGATTATGCTGATTCTAAACAGTTATATAACATGCATTTTGAAAATAGATGCATAGTTTGCAGAAATCTTACCTGCTTCATTTATGTATAACAGACAAATATGCATCACACAAAGATTATTAGTTTATTTCAAAACTAATCCAAATGAATGTATGTGCAATGTATGTGCAGTACTAAAATCGTCTTACTAAAATTCCACGTTAAGTTCAATGTGTACTAGAAAATTGTTTCACTACCAAATGTTGTAGTGTAATCCTAAATATAAACAATAATGAAACTCAGATCCTGTCCTAAATCACTGGTGATCTGCGTTGTCAAGGCCATCTGTGGGACTTTTCTATATAAGGATAGCAAAAACACTAGTTTGAGAAGTATTATCCTCTGAACTGTCATGTGAAGCCTGGGAAAGAGTCCGTCAGATGATCAGTGAAGCAGACTGTGGATGTTCGGTCTAGTCTTGCCTTATCACATTCCACGCTATTACATTTATAACAACTCAAACAACTCCGTTCCTTCCTTGTGGCTTTGCTTATAGCCTGTTATGGACTTCTTTTAGCATTTCCCATATTTTGGGGTCGAAGTTGGTTGCAGCACTTCCCTCTTGAGTCTCGTGCATCTTCATACAACATGAGTAATATTCCTCACTTCTGGTGATAAAAAAATCCCCCAGTGCTGCGCAGAAAGCAGTGCTGTCCAAAATGAAAGCTATATAAGGTGTTGACATGGTTTCTGTTTAAAGTGTGCACTGATAATTGCAAATGCAGTTGCACAAATACTTTTTAATTATCACGTTTAATCATATACTGTAGTACAATTCAAAAGTTTGGGGTTAGTGTTTATATATATATATTCAGCAAGGATGCATTTAGTTTATCAATTCAAAAATCAGCATATTAGAATGATTTCTGAGAGATCATGTGACACTGAAGACTAGAGTAATGATGCTGAAAATGCAGCTTTGATCACAGAAATAAATTACATTTGAACATATATTCAAATAGAAAACAGTCTGTTTAAATTGTAATAATATTTCACAATATTACTGTTTTTACTGCACTTTTTGATCAAAAAACGCGGTCTAAGTGAGCATAAGTAACTTCTTTCAAAAACAGACTGTCCCAAACCTTTTGAATGGTGCATGGATGAATTATTCAACATTCATTAAGAAAGTAAATAGGGTCCGTTTTGATTTCATGTCTGATTTGAAGTTTTGCTCACACAGTTTGCTTCCAGCTGTTGCACACAACCATAGTGGCAGATATCTAAGCATCTTAAAGAAAGAGCACAAAATACACATCATTTAAATATGGGATCCTCAAAAAGACAATATGAAATATTGTGTTGTAATCTGTGGAGCAAATATGATGCATAAATGTGACAAACTACACACTCGAACCGAAGCAAGAAGATTGCAGAAGTATGATCAGTGCTAATGGTGCATCACAATGAATCAGTGAAGAACAAAGTTGCAATTCTCTATTGCGTATCATAACAGTTGCCTCAAAAATGAAACTTCTGCCATTATTTATTCACCCTCATGTCAACCGATATGACTTACTTTCTTCCGAAGGAGAGATTTTTTGTACTAGTCACTGCAATTATAATGAATAGGAACGGGAGATTTCAAGCTTCAAAATAGATCAGAAAATGTCTTAAAAATAGCACTGTTTATACAAATCATGCACACTATCTATAGTCTTCTGAAGCCATTGTTTGTGGAACAGAAGTACACTTTAGAATACTTTTAAAAAGTACTTATTAAATAATATGCTTTAAATGAATATACTTAATTGTGAACTGAATATAATCTTTTTGAACACTTGATTTCATGTTAATTGCAATTAAATGAAAATGTATTATAGTTTATATTTATATTAATTGGAATTAGTTGCTTTTTCGACCCACTTGTGTAGGACTTCAGTACATCTGTGTGTAATTTCATAATTGCTTCTGCTTCTGTTGGCTTCTCATGTATTGCATGACATGTTCACCAGGGTTGCCAGGTTTTCACAACAAAACCCACCCAATTGCTACTTAAAACTAACCCAAAACTAGCCCAATCGCATTTCGAGGGGGGCTCCCCATTAAAAATCCCCATTAAAATCACGTTTTTGGCAGGGTTCCCCTGGTAAAATTCACACTCCAGGAGCTAAATATCACGTTATCGGGAACGCTTTAACCCGCAGGCATGAAAAACAACCCGCAGCAATGGTGATAAAGTAGCCCAATTCCGTGGGCAAACCGCAGACTTGGCAACACTGATGTTCACATGTGCTTTAGTATGTTAGTCAACACATCAAAACTCACATACTTTAAAGGTCCCCTGAAATGCTTAGAAACACGCAGCGTTACTCTATGTGTTGCCGTCATTTGAACTGAAACAGGAAGACAGGGCGGGACATATCAAGCAGCCCCGCCCCTTTTTAAAATAGCCAATAGCGTTCGTTTATATCACAGCTTGGGCTAGAGCCGTTCAGAGCCGTTGAGCTCCGTAAAGCCGCATTTGACAGCCACGATCTCATCCATATTGCTATAAAATATAGCATTCTGTGTAGAATTCAAATATCTCCAATACATGACCGCCTTATAGATAACCTTAAGACTAACATATTGATACTAACCAAAAAACTTTCATTTTGATTTCATGGGGACTTTAAAGCACAACCAAAGATTATTAAAACAGAATTAGTTAAATTGTGCATTAAAGTAAAACTTTTTAAAACTCTCTGCTTGTACACTGGTGCTCTTGTGCATATGGTGTCATTAAAGTGATTTGATTAGTCTGATTTGCTCTCCATTAGTTCGCTGGTCCTCTAACCAATCAGTGTTGGTGTGATGTGTGTGCAAACACAAACTGCAGTTTGATTAGTACAGCATGACAGTTTTAGTTTCACCGTCCTCAGCTGTTTGTGTGTGTGTCACAGAATCGTGAGTAGGAAACACTCAGCTGTATTTAAGCAGGCAAAGTTCCTCATCTTGGAATAATCAAAGGCTCAGGGCTCAAGACTCTTCTGAGCTTTCCTCACAGCACCTGCTTTCTCTGACAACAGTCAGCCTAAATCCATATTCCACAGTCACAGAACAGGTAGGCTAATTTTCGTTATTTCAATACACAGTGAGTCCAGTGTTTGGACACTTGATCATAATATACAGTATATATATATATATATATATATACAACATAATTTATGTATTGTATGTATAAGTTGACTTTTTTATACATTATAATTTGCTGCAAAAATGGCAAATTATTCACTGCAAAAATTCGTCAGAAAAGAAAAGTACATTCTGAGAAAAACTCAGACTACAGAATACAAACTGAGAAAAGCATCATTTTTGTTTGCAGATGCCACTTGGTTACATTGTTATCTAATGATTCAATGGAATTCTAATGAATGATCAATGAAATTCATATAATAAAATGATTAGTTTTGTGCAGCATACAAACACACTAACGGACTGCAGTGTAGATACAGCAGTGATGCAGCGAGTTGATGTCCTCTCTGATGTTGTGTGGATGCAGGAGATGTGCACCGGTCACTGCTCCAGGTCTGCGGGAATGGCTCTGATCCCTACAGCCATCGTCTGCATGCTGGCCAATGCCCTGCTGCTGTTTCCTGATCTGAAGTATCAGTACCTGACAGAGAATCATGTGACCAGAGAGGCCACGTGGTGCTCTGGGATCTGGGCATCAGGGCTTCTGGTGAGCTTTTCTGCTCTTTTATGAGATCTGATACTAATCGATAACACGATAAAGGCATTTTGAGTATATATTAACAACAAGTACAGAAAATTAATAAAAACAAATGGTGTATACTATTATTATTTGTTATTATTATTATGGTTGTTGTTAGAATATAGTATATGTATTTATATATACTATAAATAAGTATATTATTATTAAATTATTATATTGATAGTTACTTCTTATTTCTTCTTCTATTTTAAAATGAAGTAATAAATAATGTATTATAATTATATGTTATATACAATAGAATTATGTATATTATATTTAATAGAATACAGACAGAATATATTACAGAATAAAAATGTAAAATATAATTAAAAATAAAATATATATTTCAATTATATATATCATTTATAAAATAAAATATATATTTTACATTTATTAATATACGTATGTGTTATACATATTATTTTATTATTATTATTATTTTTAGGGCTATCAGTAGGGCTTTACTAGAACAGT